TATTTATTTACATCATCAGGGCTCTGTAATTAGAGTCAGAGGTGTGTTTTCTCCACAGAATAATAGACCATCATTCAAAGTCATTATACTGCCATTCACATTTGGCTTCTGTGTGCTCTGAGAAAACATTTTCAACTATTGTGAGGGGGTCTTTCTTTAGTCATGTAATTAATAGGTATATGGAAAGCAGCAATGCACCACAATTATGTACATAAAAGGTCTGCTTCAACTATTACATTAGAGAGCAAACACTTGACCATTAAACTGTAATACAATAATGGGAAAACAAAAATTTTTGATCAGTTAACCTGACATAATAACAGGGCACTTAGGAAATCATAACGGGCTTTGGCAGTGTCACCACAGTTTATGAATGGGAAATTATGTTTGACAATCGTATTACAGTTCTTTCAGGGTATCACTGATAGAGGCAGTAAGAGTGAAACCAGTGGATGTAAGATATTTAGATTTTCAAACAGCGTTTGTAAAGTTGCAGTACCAGTGATAATTATATAAGATTGCTCATTAAATGGGATGGCACGTTTGAGGTTTCTGAACTGAAAAAAAATAGAAAAGGAATAAATGGGTTATTTTCAAGTTGGCAGGCAGTAACTAGTGGACTGTTACAAGGACCAGAGTTTGAGCCGCAGATATTTATGTTTCTAAATCAATGTCTTGGATTACAGGATCAAGTAAAGAGTATCCAGATTTGTTAAGAATACCAGGTTAGGTGGGCTAATAAACTGTATGGAGGATGCCAAAAGGGAAACCTGCAAAATTACTTAGACAGGTTAAATAAGTGGACAAGAACATGAAAGTTGGAAAATAAGGTGGAGAAATGTGGAGATTTTCACTTTGGGGGCAATAAAAGACATACAGAATATGTTTTAAATGGTGAAAAGCTAGGAAAGGTTGGTACTCTGGATATCTTTGTACACAAACCAGAAAATTAGGAACAGTGATCAATTAAGACAACAAATATTAGCCTTCATCACAAGGGGACTGGAGAGGAAAAATAAATATGACATTGATTTGCATAGGGCCTTGGTGAGATTACACTTGTAGTAATATGCACACCTATGGTGTACTTGCTAAGAAAAGACATAATTGCCCTAGATGGAGGGCAATGGTGGTTCACTAGATGAATTCCTGGGGTGAGAGGATTATGGTAGAAGGAGACAATCCAGAAGAGTCTAGAAGAATAAGTGTGGATCTCATCAAAATATAAAATGCTTCAAGGACTTGACAGGATGTTACAAGGCTGTACCCTGTGGCTAGGCTGTCTAGAACTAGGGTTCCAAATCTCAGAATAAGGAACTGCCAATTTAGGATTGACATAAGGGGAAACTTCTTCATCAACAGGTTGTGGACTTTTGGAACTCTTATTCTGGAAAACTGTGAATGTTCAGATATTGAGTATATTCAAGTCAGAAGTTGACATATTTTTAGATATGAAAAGAACCAAGGGAAATAGAGACACTTCAGGAAGATTTCGCTGAGGTAAAGATCAACTATGATGTGATTGAAAGATGGGGCAGGTTCAAGGAAGTGATTGGCTTACTCTAAGTGTACATTCACTTAGTTCAGTTGGCTGGATGGCTAGTTTGCAATGCACAGTAATGCCAACATCGTGGTTTCAATTCCTGTACCAGCTGAGATTACCAAGGTTACCTCCTTCTCAACTTCTCCACTCGCCTGAGGCATTGTGACCCTCAAGTTAAACCATCACCAGTCATATACGACTGATTGATTACTTAAGGCCTGATTGATTAAAAGCCATAACTTACAACCACTGACGGGGGAAAATAAACTTGTTTTCCTCAAGCTTGAAGTGCTTTTCACACAAGAGAGAAGGACAGCATCTTCCTTTCTGGATGTCTGATGGCTTGTGACTAGGTATTCACACCCACAGGCTGTTTAAGTATCCAGGAGTCAATCATATAATTGTTGGAAGGCAGAAGCGTTTATCATCAACCACTGATCACTACTGGACTATTGAGCTGCTCTCTCAGATAGAAACAACTGGTGGTTTAACCTGAGGGTCACTACGCCTCAGGCGAAGGCAGAGGTTGAGAAGGACAGCCCTTCATGGTAACCTCATGGGGTGCAAGAATTGAACCCACGCTGCATTGCAAGCTAGTCGTCCAGCCAACTGAGCTACTTGAGCGCCTACTGACCTTGGGGGTTAATCAGTTGGCTAGACTTGGAAACTGAGCTTCAGGTAAATGTGGACCCTTTCTCTGGAGCATATGAGAAAATGAGCCTTTCCCTAAACACCCAGAAAAACAAGGTCATCTTCCAATCAACTCCCCACTAAGACACCTCCTCCCCCTGTCAGTTAAAATCAGTGACAACATCCTGAAAATTGTCCATGTTCTATACTTTGAGAACCTCACCTTAACAAAGGCAGATATAAACAATGAAACTTAACTGCACCTCAGATGTGTCAGGTCAGCCTTCGACCATCTGAAGTATTTGGGGACCAGAATCTTAAACCTGAGAGTAAAGTCATGGTTTACCAGGCAGCGGTGATCCCTGCTCTCCTATGTGGTTGGACTTCAAAGCCCTGGAGAGGAGTTACGAGCAGTGCCTTCACAAGATTCTCCAAATCTTTTAGCAGACCAACATGCACAGCATCAAGGCAGTAGTCACTGAGAACCAGCTCCAATTGGCAGAACATGTCATTTTGTGCCTGACACCAGACTTGCGAAACAATGGCTGTACTCAAAACTCAGACACAGCTAGAGACTTCCAGGGACCCAAGGAAATGCTTTAGTGATGTCATTAAAACATCCTTAAAAGGATCAAACATACCTGATGACTTATGGGAGATGCAGGCTTATGGCTGACCAAAATTGATAGAGGCTCATTGGTGAGGGTGCCATGCACGTTGAGTGACTTTGTTTGGAACGTGCAGGAATAGGCGGCTTGGTGGCTCAGTGATTAGCACTGCTGCCTCACAGCGCCAGGGAACCGGGTCCACTTCCAACCTCGGGCAACTGTTTGTGTGGAGTTTGCACATTCTCCCATGTTTGCATGGGTTTCTGCCAGGTGCTCCAGTTTCCTCCCACAGACTGAAGATGTGCAAATTAGGTGGATTGGCCATGCTAAATTACCCATAGTGTTCAGGGATGTGTAGGTTAGGTTCATTAACTACGGGAAATACAGGGTTACAGGGATAAGGTAAGGGGATGAGTCTGGGGGGGTTGCTCTTCGGAGGGTTGATGTGGACTTGTTGGGCTGAATGGCCTGTTCCCACACTGTAGGGATTCTTCTAAGAAATGAAGTCAAGGTGTTGGGGATGTACACATCTCAGAACCCATCGAACTAGGATGGCAGCAAGTCATCCTCCAAGAGAAGAAGAAGTGCTGATTGATGTGGATCTGATTATTTTTATAAGGTGCATGAGCGTTTTTTTGCAGTCACAGAGTCATACAGAAACAGACCCTTTGGTCCAGCCAGTCCATGCTGAACATAATCCCAAACTAAACTAGCTGTACCTGCCTGCTCCTGGCCCTTATCGCTCCAAAGCTTTCCTATTCATGTACCTATCCAATTGTCTTTTAAATGTTGTAATTGTGTCCATATCCACAACTTCCTCAGGAAGTGCATTCCACATTCGAACCACTCTCTGTGTAAAAAATTTGCCTCTCTCCTCTCACCTTGAAAAAAAGTGCCCCCTAGTCTTGAAATCCCCTATCCTAGGGAAAAAGGCAACTACCATTAATTCTATCTGTATGTCTCATTATTTTATAAACCTCTTTCTGATCGCCTCTCAACCTCCTATACTCCAGTGAAAAAAGTCCCAGCCTATCCAACCTTTCTTTACAACTCAAACCTTCCATACCCGGCAACATCCTGGTAAATCTCTTCTGAACCCTCTCCAGCTTGATAATAGCCTTCCTATAACTGTGTGACCAGAACTGGAAACAGTCTGCCAGAAGAGGTGTCACTAATGTCCTGTACAACCTCAACATGACTCCCCAACTCCTATACTCAAAGGACTGAGCAATGAAGGTAAGTGTGCCAAATGTCTTTTTAACTACCCTGTCTATATGTGACGCAAACTGCAAAGAATTATGTATCCCCTAGATCCCTCTTGTTCTACAACACTAGCCAAGACCCTACCATTAATTGTATAAGTTCTACCCTTGTTTGTTGTACGAAAATGCAATACCTCGCATTTATCCAGATTAACTCCATTAGCAATTTTTCAGCCCATTGACCCATTTGATCGAGATCCATTTGTTATCTTAGAAAACCTTCTTTGCCATCAACAAAGCCATCAATTTTGATGGTGTCGTCTGCAAACTTAATAACCATGCCTTCTATATTCTCACCTAAAACCTTTATATAAATGACAAACAGAAGAGGGCCCAGAACCAATCCCCTTGGAACACCATTGGTGACAGGCCTCTAGTCTAAAAAACAATCCTCCGGAACCATCCTGCCATAAACCGGCGTTCACCTGATTGTGGAAATACTTTCCAGTTTACCTGCTGTAACAGTTTGCTGCTGCAGTCTCAAAGAAAAAAGCGAGACTTAATTTTTTAAAGGCTGCTCTCCAATATTTTGACATTCCCGTCTATTTTTACATATATATATTTTTACATTAATCTCCTATAATGAATATACAATTGGCCCACAAAATTATGGCTGATCAAGCAATGGTAGTGCACTACTGGACAAAACCCAAACTCCAATGGTAAATCCAGTATAACTTAACTCACTTTGGAGAATTTTAGTGGCAGTGTCACAATAAAACTTTCGCGAATTAAGTATGTTACAGGTCAGTTAGAAGATAGTGTCTAATCTACTCTCGACAACAATCTAGCAGAATACTCAACTGCAGAAGAATGTCCCTTACTGCATTAGGATAGTATTTTCATTTGCCACATTAGCCGCCACAATGCATTATAGTTTATCTCAGCAAAGATGATAAACTGGTTCTGAAATCTCAAGTTAAGCTAACATCTATTCTCGACATAATGGAACTGTACCTTTACAGACTTATCCATGGAAGCAGAGAGCAGTAAATGACTGTGTTGCTGCACGGGACACCAATGTATTGTAGTTACTGGTCCTTTGTGCTCAGAGATCTGAAAAACCACACGTTTTGGAATATTTGTAGTTTTGTATTGGTTTTCCAAGTAAGGCTTAATGAAAGCTGAAATTCTGTTCAACAGATTTAACTGTTGCTCTTCCGTTGCAGTACAGTTTGTCTCAGAGGTCAAAACTTTTGTGCTGTCTTTGAAATCATTGCTTTTCGAAGGTACATCTTTTTGCCTTAATCTTTTGGGTATGTAAGGTTTAATATTTTGAGCAGATGCCACTGAGGTTTGAAATCCTCTCTTCTGAGCTGAGGGGGCCATTTTTACAGGAATTCCATCAGATTTCCACATCAGATTTGCTGGATTATTATTGTCCTTTTTAGGAAACTGAAAATATGTCTCATCATTCAAAAGCATCTCTGGGGATCTTGGAGTTACACAGATATATGTCTTTGTACAATTCGGTGTATTGTGCCATTTGCATTCCGTATGTGCGCTTCCAGAAGATGCAACTTTTAACTCTAATTCACGTCTAGATGATTCCCATTCTGAAGTAGTTGGAAATGCAGATTGAAATTTAGAGTGGACAGGATCATTTTCTCTCTGAAGAGAAATGACTTCTTCTCTTTTGTCATCATCTGTTTCTGAATCTGAAGACTCATAAGCAACCAGGGAATTCATTTGGCAATCTGTAATGGATAGGATCTGCACTCCACTTCTGGAACAGAATCTGAAGAAGCTTCCTGTAATTACAACATTTTTATTAATTCAAAGAATGAAAGCCAATCTGTTAAGATATTATGATGCATTTTTCTGCCCTTATCTGAACCTACTATGCTGCCAACATTTAATATTTATCCTCTTTTATCATATGGTAGGTGATATGGTGCAATATATGACATGAGGTTACATTGAAAGCAGAAGCAGCATTTTGTGATGAGGGTCACAGGGAGCAACTATTTTCATAATTCATCTTCAAAATAGTCATTAAGTCCCTCTACTCCTGCACCATATTGATATTCCATCTTCCCACAATTTTTTCCCTTAAACTCATTCACTTGCACAGCTTGCTCATATCTGCATTCTCTCCTTCCTACATTATCATTCACAAGACTCTAGTGCACCTCACCATTTGAGGTTATTAAAGAGCTTAAATATTCACAGATCTTTAACTATTCCAGTATTGGATGAGGTGATCAGAATGTATTGACGCTAAATACAAGCAGTGAGTAACTGATTCTCTGACCATGTAGATCTTTATGTTTAACCACAGCCAATTCATTTTTATTCATTCATGGGTTGTGGGTGTCACTGGCTGGCCAGCATTTATTGCCCTCAGGAAGGTGTGGTGAGATGCCTTCTTGAACTGCTACTGTCCATGTGCTTTAGGTTCACCTTAAGGAGGGAATTCCAGGATTTTGACCTCATGACAGTGTAGAAATGGCAATATATTTCCAAGTCAGAATGGTGAGTGGCCTGGAGAGGAACTTGCAGGTGGTGGTGTTTCCATCTACCTGCTGCACTTGTCCTTTTAGTTGGAAAGAAGTTATGGGTTTGGAAGGTGCTATGTGAGGATCTTTGGTGAATTTTTGCAGTGCATCTTGTAAATTGTACACAGTGCTGCTACTGAGCATTGGTGGAGGAGGGAATGAATGCTTGTGGATGCGGTGCCAATCAAGCAGGTTGTTTTGTCCTGGATGGTGTCAAGTTTCTTCAACGTGGATGGAACAGTACCCATCCAGGCAAGTAGGAAATATTGCATCACACTCTTGACTTGTGCCTTGTAGATGATGGACAGGCTTTGGGGAGTCAGGAGGTGGGTTACTCGCCACACTATTCCTCGCCTCTGGTCTGCTCCCGTAGACCCTGTATTTATATGGGGAGTTGAGTTGAGTTTAGTTTCTGGTCAATGGTAATCCCCAGGATGCTGATTGTGTGGGATTCAGTAATGGTAATACCATTGAATGTCAAGGGTTGATAGTTAGATTGTCCATTATTGGAGACAGTCATTGCCTGGCATTTGTGTGGCACAGATATTTCTTGCCACTTATCAGCTTGTTGCATTTGAAGGTAGACAAACAGAAGGCTGGAAGAACACAGCAAGCCAGGCAGCATCTGGAAGAAAGGAGCAGTCAACGTTTCAGGTGTTACCCTTCTTCAGGACTGGATGTAGAGGTAGGGGGAGCTGCAGATAAAGAGAGGGGGAGGGCTGGAAGCAGAATGGTTGTGATAGGTGGACACTGGTGGTAGGTACAACCTGGTTAGTCCACGGTAGGGATGAATCCAGATGATGGCTGTCAGGGAGGCTCAGAAGGTGGAATGGAAGGGGAGCCGGGGCATGGGTGGGTACACAGTCTGCTTTAGTACCTGAGGAGTCACCAGTAGTACTGAACATTGTGCAATCATTGGTGCACATCTGCACTCCAGACCTTATGATGGAGGGGAGGTCATTGATCAAACTGGACAGATACTTGGGCCCTGGACACCACCCTGAGGAACTCCTGCAGAGATGTCTTGGAGCTGAGATGATTGACCTCCAACAACCATGACCATCTTTCTATGTGTCAGGTATGACTCCAACCACCGGAGAGTTTGCCCCCTGATACCCACTGATTCCAGTTTTGCTCCTTGATGCCACACTCAGTTAAGTACGGCCTGATGTCAAGGACATCTGAGAAGGGTCTAGGCCCGAAACGTCAGCCTTTCTGCTCCTATGATGCTGCTTGGCCTGCTGTGTTCATCCAGCCCTGCACCTTGTTGTCTCTGATGTCAAGGACTGTCACTCTCACCTCAGGAATTATTGCGGGATCTACCTTAAAACTTTGTAAACGAAGGATAAAATGACCCTATCTCACATGTAGCGGAAGTAATTACTGATTTCGGTGAAGATCATCGCCGTCAACGGGTAAAGCCACACGGTAAACTCACCGACTTCCGGTCCCTCCTTCTTTCCCCTCCCCGGTCCCTCCTCCTTCCACCTCCCCCGCGCAACAATCCGATTGACATTTAGTTCCGAGAGTCGGGCTGATCGAGAAACGTGTCCGCTCCGGATCGGACAAACTTTCCCCGAGATACCCGGTTACGCGCAGGTGGACACGGAGCCTCGGCAACTCGGGGGGTGGGGGCCGGAGCTTCATTTAGAGTCCACTCAGCGCGGGAGGCGGCGATTAGCTGCACGATTCTGATGCAATCGGGGCCGTAAGTGAGGAGGCGGAGGCCGCCAGGAGCTTTAGCAGAGGATGGGGGCTCGAGGGAGGGAGCTGGAGGGCCGGGGGTGAGAGACCGCGGCGGCAGGAGCAGCAGGGGGAAGCCTAGAAATTCTAACCACCATCACCACCACCACCATCTCCTCCTCCTACCCAACCCACCGGGTACGTGAGGGCTTCTAGGATTTGGACTGTATGAGTCTCCTGCACCAATAACATCTATTATCTGATCTTTATTGACAGGTCCCAATATTAAGCTGCCCGCTTTGAAGAGAATGTCATCTCCTCCTCATTGTGAAATGCCTTTACCGGTGACCCCCATGGAGTTGTATGAGAAAGTGGCTCTCCAAGGGGGTACTGTCCGATTGCTGAAGTCAAACAAAGCACCAAAGGTGAACTATCCGAATTGTATTAATTGTGTTAACAGTATGTATAAGTTTAGCTACAGTTTTAAATTTAGTTTGATGGCACAGAACCTTTTCATCTATGAAACGCGTTGAAACAATGTGAAATGTTTGTCCGTTTTAACAACCATCTAGTTTTTTTGTTTGCTCCAATCCCAACTTCACCATAAAACCCGCGGACAAGGGAGGCGCAGTTGTAGTATGGCGCACTGACCTCTACATCGCCGAGGCCGGACGTCAACTCTCCGACACCTCCTCCTACTGCCCCCTTGATCATGACCCCACCCCTGAGCACAAAACCATCATCTCGCAAACCATCCACAACCTCATCACCTCAGGTGACCTCCCACCCACGGCCTCCAACCTCATCTTTCCCCAACCTCGCACTGCCCGCTTCTATCTCCTTCCCAAAATCCACAAACCTGAATGCCCTGGTCGACCCATTGTCTCCGCCTGCTCCTGCCCCACCGAACTGATCTCCAACTATCTAGACTCCATTTTCTCCCCCTTGGTCCAGGAACTCCCTACCTATGTCCGTGACACCACTCACGCCCTCCACCTCCTCCAGAACTTCCAATTCCCCGGTCCCCAACACCTCATCTTTACCATGGACGTCCAGTCCCTCTACACCTGCATTCCCCATGCAGATGGCCTTAAGGCCCTCCGCTTCTTCCTGTCCCGCAGGCCCGACCAGTGCCCCTCCACTGATACCCTTAGCCGAACTCGTCCTCACACTCAACAACTTCTCTTTCAATTCCTCCCACTTCCTACAGACAAAGGGGGTAGCCATGGGTACCCGCATGGGCCCAAGCTACGCCTGCCTCTTTGTAGGTTACGTGGAACAATCCCTCTTCCGTACCTACACCGGCCCTAAACCCCACCTCTTCCTCCGTTACACTGATGACTGTATCGGCGCCGCCTCGTGCTCCCACGAGGAGCTCGAACAGTTCATACACTTCACTAACACCTTCCACCCCAACCTTAAGTTTACCTGGACCATCTCTAACACCTCTCTCCCCTTCCTGGACCTCTCTGTCTCCATATCGGGCAACCACCT